CAGGGAGGTCCATCCCCCCCCAGTTTAGCCCACTTCTGCCCGGTTCGGCCCGGTTCTGCCCAGTTTTGGCTCTCTTCTGCCTAGTTTTGCCCGTTTTTGCCCATGTTTGGCTTACTTCTACCTGGTTTTGCCCATTTTTGCCGATGTTTGCCCAGTTCTGCCCAGTTTGACCCACTTGGGCCAGGTAACACCCAATTCTGCCCCATTTCACCCACTTCTGCCCATTTTTGGCTCATTTCACCCCAATTTTGCCCATTTTTGCCCGGTTTTGGCTCAATTTTACCTGGTTTTGCCCATTTTTGGCTCATATCACCCCGGTTTTGCCGGATTCTGCCCCTTTTTAGCTCCCTTCTGCCTAGCTTTGCCCACTTTTCCCCATTTTTGGCTCACTTCTGCCCGGTTTTGCCCATTTTTGCCTGCCTTTGCCCAGTTCTGCCCAGTTTGACCCACTTTGGCCCAGTATCGCCCACTTCTGCCCATTTTTGACTCACTTCTACCTGGTTTTGCCCATTTTTGGCTCACATCACCCCGGTGTTGCCGGATTCTTCCCATTTTTAGCTCGCTTCTGCCTGGTTTGCCCATTTTCCCCTATTTTTCGCTCACTTCTACCTGGTTTTGCCCATTTTTGCCTACTTTTGCCCAGTTCTGCCCAGTTTGACCCACTTTGGCCCAGTATCACCCACTTCTGCCCATTTTTTATTCATTTCACCCCAATTTTGCCCAGTTCTGCCCTTTTTTGAGTCACTTCTGCCCAGTTTTGCCCAGTTCTGCCCAGTTTTGGCTCACTTCTGCCCGGTTTTACCCGTTTTTGCCTATTTTTGCCCAGTTCTGCCCCATTTGCCCCACGTTTGTCCCTCAGGTGCCCCTCAAGGGGTCAAGAGATGTTGTGGAGATGCAAGGGGAGGGGTTTATTGGGGGTCGGAGGTGGATCTAGGGGGGGTTGGAGGTCTGGGGTGAGGTCAGTCCACCCATGGTGGCATCAGGCCAGCGTGGTGGGCTTGCTCCGCCCGTGGTGGGCTTGGTCCATCCATGGTGGGATCTCTGGTAGGTTCAGTCCACCCATGGTAGGCTCAGTCCAAGCGTGATGGGACCAATCTCATCCATGGAGGGGTCAGGCCATCATGGTGGGCTTGGTCCATCCGTGGTGGGCTTGGTCCATCCATGGTGGGGTCTGTGGTGGGGTCAGTCCATTCATGGTGGGGTTGTTGGTAGGTTCAGTCCATTCATGGTGGCATCAGCCTGTCCACGGTGGGATCCATGGTGAGTCGGAGTGTCCACGGTTGGGGTCAATCCATCCATGATGGGATCAGCCCAGCCGTGGTGGAGTCCATGGTGGGGTCAGTCCATCTGTGGTGGCGTCAGTCTGTCCATGATGGGGTCAGTCCAGTCATGACGGGGTCCATGGTGGGCTTGGAGTGTCTGTGGTGAGGTCAGTCCATCCATGGTGGAGACCATGGTAGGGCCAATCCATCCATGAAGGGGTCAGCCCAGCCATGGTGAGATCCATGGTGGGCCAGGTGAGTCCATGGTGGGGTTCAGTGGGCCTTGATGGGGTCAACCCAACTGTGATGGGGTCAACCCAACCATGATGGCTTCCATTGTGGAGTTCAGTCCACCCATGATGGTGCTGGTGGATCTGCCGTAGGGTTGATCCTTTCTTGGTGGCTTCAGCCTGTCCATGGTGGGGTCAGCTGGTCCCTGGTGGGTTCCGTGGTGGGGTTGATGGGTCTGTGGTAGGGTCGGCAGGTCGATGGTGGGACAGGGAGGACTTAGTCCTCCCCTATGGTCTCTTGGATCCATGACAGGTAGTTGTAGACCAGGCTGTAGACCCCTGGCTTCCCCGCCTGCCCGCAGGGGTGGTCGCCCCACGAGACGATGCCTTGCAGGACCCCGTCGCAGATGAGAGGTCCCCCCGAGTCACCCTGGGGACAAAAGGGACCATGATGGGACCTCGGCCACAGGCCCCGGCCAGGGAGGACACCAAGGTGGAGATGGCCAGGGCTGGGACACGTGGCCACCGGTAGGGATGGCTGCTCTTGGAGATGTGGGACCAGGCACAGTGAGGTGGCCAAGGAAGGGTGGGGTGGTAGGGACTGGAGAGATGAGGTCACAGGACGTGGGGATGGGGACACGGGGCATGGTCGTGTCTTGAAGCCCAGGGGACAGGAGGACCAAAGGGATGTGGTTGTGGGTGGTGGCCATGGGACATGGGGACACAGCCATGTCTCAAAGCCGAGGGGATGGGAGGACCAAAGGCACATGGCCCTGGGAGGTGGGTACGTAGGGATGGGACGTGCAGATGAGTTCACATCTCAAAGCCCGAGGGACAAGGAGGACCGGAGGGAGGTGGCTGTGGGACGTGGGGGACAAGGTGGTGGGACGTGGGGATAAGGTGGTGGGAGGTGGGGACGGGGTGAGGGGATGTGGGGGCAGAGCTACGTCTCAGAGCCCAGGAGATGAGGAAGACCAGAGGAATGTGATGGTGGGACGTGGGACTGAGGCTGTAGGACATGGGGACGTGGTTGTGGGGCATGGGGACAAGGTGATGGGACACAACAACATCTCACAGCCAATGGGACAAGGGAGGACCGAAGGGATGGGGCTGTGGGACATGGGGATGGGACATGGGGAGGTGGCTGTAGGACAGGGTGAGGTGGTGATGGGATGTGGGGATGTGGTGGTGGAACATAGGGACATGGGGATGGGACATGGGGAGGTGGCTGTAGGACATGGTGAGGTGGTGATGGGATGTGGGAATGTGGTGGTGGGCCATGGGGACATGGCTGTAGGACATGGGGACGTGGTGATGGGATGTGGGGAAGTGGTGGTGGTGGGCCATGGGGATGTGGCTGGAGGACTTGGGGGGGGGGGGGTGAGTAGGACTTGGTGAGGTGGTGATGAGCCATGGGGACAAGGTGGTGGGCCATGGGGAGGTGGCTGTAGGACATGGGGATGTGGTGATGGGATGTGGGGACGTAGTGATGAACCATGGAGACATGGTGGTGGGCCGTGGGGACGTGTTGGTGGGCCGTGGGGATGTGGTGACGTGGTGATGGGCCATGGGGACATGGTGGTGGGCCATGGGGACATGGTTGAAGGACATGGGGATGTGGTGATGGGCCATGGGGCCCTGGCACTGGGCCATGGGGACATGGTGGTGGGTGATGGGGACGTGGCTGTAGGACATGGGGATGCGGTGGTGGGACATAGGGTCATGGGGACATGGTGATGGGGCTGTGGGACACGGTTGTAGGACATGGGGACATGGTGATGGGACATGGGGACGTGGTGATTGGACGTGGGGACTTGGTGATGAACCATGGAGACGTGGTGGTGGGCCATGGGGACGTGGTGGTGGGCCATGGGGACGTGGCTGTAGGACATGGGGACACAGGGACCTGGAGGTACCTGGCAGGAGTCGTTGCCCCCCTGAGCCACACCAGCGCACAACATGTCCTCGGTGACTTTGCTGCCGTAGACCGTCCGGCACTCGTCGTCACCCACCACGGAGACGTCCACGCACTGGGGGGTGTCGGGGAAGGTCTCTGGGGGGAAGGACACATGTCCTGGCCAGGTCTAGCTGGATCTCCAGTCTGCAGAGGTGGCCCCACCCAACCCAACGCAGGTCGAGGTGTCCATCCCTTGGAGACCTGCGTCCATCATCCGAGGAGATGCCCCCACCCAATCCAATGCAAGTCGAGGTGTCCATCCCTTGGAGACCTGGGTCCATCATCTGAGGAGACCCCCACCCAACCCAACCCAATGCAGGTCAAGGTATCCATCCCTTGGAGACCCAGGTCCATCATCTGAGGAGACCCCCACCCAATCCAGCCCAATGCAGGTTGAGGTGTCCATCCCTTGGAGACCTTGGTCCATCATCCAAGGAGAACCCAACCCAACCCAACCCAATGCAGGTGAAGGTGTCCATCCCTTGGAGACCTGGGTCCATCATCTGATGAGACCCCCACCCAACCCAATGCAGGTCGAGGTGCCCATCCCTTGGAGACCTGGGTCCCTCACCTTAGGAGATGCCCCCACCCCACCCATACCCCATGGTCCCCCCCTACCTTCGGGGCTGGTGGTGGTCCCCCATCCCATGACCATGCAGTTGGTGCCGGTGGCTGGGGGGCTTGTGGGCAGGGCCAGGGGTTGGACGTAGGGGGTGATGGTGAAGGGGGGCTCCACGCGCAGCAGCATGAGGTCATGGGCGTAGGCGCTGTCCCTGTCCATGGAGTTGAACCCGGGGTGGACCACAACGTCCACGGCCTCGGCGTACTGCTCCTGCCCGGTCATCGTCTCCAAGTCGTGCGCCCCTGCCAGCACCTGGATGTGGCTGGGGACAGGGGACACGTGAGGGACACAACACCGTGGTGGGGACGTTGGATGGCTGGGGACACGGGGGACGTGGCCGTTGGTGGGATGTGGTCATGGAGGGACGTGGCTGTTGGTGGGATGTGGTCATGGAGGGACGTGGTCATGGAGGGATGGGGATGTTGGAGGTTGTGGTTGGGAACATGGGGGACGTGGCCGTGGTGGGACATGGCTCTGGTCTTACATGGTCATGGAGTGACGTGGCCATGGAGGGATGTGGCCATGGTTGGACATGGTCATGGAGGGAAGAGGATGTGGGGGATGGGGACATGGGAGGGCATGGCTGGGGACACGGGGGACGTGGCCGTTGGTGGGACGTGGTCATGGAGGGACATGGTCTTGGAGGGATGTGGCCGTGGTTGCATGTGGTGATGGAGGGGTGTGGCCATGGTTGGACGTGGTCATGGAGGGGCGCGGTGGTGGAGGGATGGGGACACTGGAGGTCGTGGTTGGTGACACGGGGGACGTGGCCGTTGGTGGGAGGTGGTCATGGAGGGGCGTGGTCATGGAGGGATGAGCTCCCAGTGCTCTCAGTCCCCCTCCCAGTGCCTCCCAGTGCCCCCAATCCCTCTCCCAGTACCTCCCAGTGCCTC